AGCCTTGAGCTGAAGAGCTGAGGGACAGCGCCCAGGCCCAGAGTTCAGGCCCCACAACCGGACCCAAAAAAAAAAAAATTAAAGTTGGAGACAAAACAGAAACAATTATAAAGTACAAATAGACTATAGGATTCTGGGATCACATAATCCTAAGTACCAAAGGTAAATGACATACAAAGTCTGCCTTGCAATAAGCAGTAATAGAGTGGACCAATGTCCCAAGAGTTTACTTTAGAGAGATGCCTACATTCAATTAAGAAGAAGACTGACATACTCAGAGTTAGTGATTTTGAGCAGTAGTCCATGATGTCTGAGACTCTGGAGAATTTGAGTCTATAACTAATGTACTGTGTTGAACTTTTATCAGCACAATCAAAATGTGAACAAGAAGGGACTGGGAAGGTAGCTTAGTGGCAGAGGGCTTGCCTAGCATGCATGAAGCCCTGGGTTCTATTCCTCTGTACCACATACACAGAAAAGACCAGAAGTGGTACTGTGGCTCAAGTGGTAGAGCACTAGCCTTGAGCAAAAGAAGCACAGGGACAGTGCCCAGGCCCTGAGTTCAAGGCTCAGGACTGGGGACAAAAAAGGCAACAAGGAGAATCTCAAGATTAGACTTTCTTCATATCAAGCAAATCTGGGGAAAATGATGGAAACATCAAGACTCACCTTTCTAACAATGGTCCTCACACCATGCATCACCTACATCATGCTCAGCCCCTACCTGACAATGGTCCTGATGCCATGTGTTACCTAGGTCATGCAACCACTGAGGTCAGTGGGACCTCCTCTGACCCCATGCTCACCTTCACATGGAGTGGGCATATTTGTTTTTCATACAGATTCTCTTTCTCTGGTGAGGACTCATCATTCCAAGTGTCTAGTTGAAGTTACACTCTCTATGATAGTTAATAAACACTGTTATCTGACAAGGCTAACAAATCCATGTCTTTTCTGTGTGGTGTAATAGGGTTTACCAAACCTCACCATCTTAGAGTTTACTCTATTTTGCTTTTGTGACTCCATCTTAAAGAAAGTACTGCACCCCCAATCCCGGAGACTAGTTCCTTATGGCCTGACATTTAAAGATATATGTACCCACTGTTCCATTTATGTTCCTAGTAAGGAGTCATAGAGACTGTCACAGAAATGGGTCATACCACCTCACTCAATGCTTGCTTACAGCATTGTCTAGCTTAAGCTTCTGTACCTTCCCACTTGGCTTGCACCTGCAGGAAAAAACTGTTAGGGACTTTCGACCCCTGAGCAAACAAGGAGATGGGTTTTCTGCTTTCAAAGGGGCCCTGAGACCAGGTCTGGGACTGCACGTTGGGCACCCGACAGTCTGGTTACCCCGGCTGGTAATACAGACTTTCTATTGCTGCACTGCGTCTGTGTGGTCTCTCCTGATGGCTTAACCCACAACTGTGGTTACATGAAGGTGGACATTCGAGGCTTAGCTGGGTAGTTCTCAGAAAATCATTTTATCTTGCTACTCTGCTCCCAGTTACTAATTTCCAATCAGTTGAGGTTATTTGTCAGCACAAAATTGGTGTCAGAGAAAAGACTGCATATCAAAGTGGTGGTTAACCTGAGTTAACCACCAACAGCTCTTCTGATCTGTGGAAAAGCTTTCTGGTCTAACATGACAGATTGAACATAGTCCTGTGTGTTCCTCTTAGACAGGCATAAAGCCAGGAGTAATCCCTAACTGTGAAGAAAGTGAGAGCAGGTCCATCAGCCACAAGGTCTCAAGAATAATCTGGAAAATGGAAGTCACATCTCAAAGATCGCCAGTATAAACCATATAAAATTATATAAATGAAATGTACTCATTACCAGATTATAAAACTAACTCCAATAACAATAGAAAGTTTACTGGCATTCTACCACTTAAACCACAGCTCTGCCTCCAGTTATGTGGTGGTACACTGGAGATAAGCATCTCACGGACTTTCCTGCCTGGACTGGTGTCAAACCTCAACCCTCAGGTCTCAGCCTCCATGACAGCTAGGATTATAGACATAAGCCACTGGCATATGGTTTCAGTTCTCATCATCTCTAAGCTTCTAGACATTGGATAAAAGTGGCCTACCTTCAGGGGCGTCAGCATCACACCTCTTCGGCCCAGGAAAGGTGGAATTACCTTTATGGTCATCAGAAGTTACATTGCTCTGAAAGATAAAAATATAGTTAAAATGTAAAAAGTTACACTGATATATTTAAAATTGAAAAATATGAACTATATAGTTTTTTGTTGTTGTTGTTTTGTTGGTCGTGGGGCTTGAACTCTGGGCCTGGGCGCTGTCCCTTAGCTTTTTAGCTCAAGGCGAGCACTCTACCACTTGAGCCACAGTGCCACTTCTGGTGTTCTGGTAGCTTACTGGAAATGAGAGTCTCACAGACTTTCTTGCCCAGGCTGGCTTTGAACCGAGATCCTCAGATCTCAGCCTCCTGAGTAGCTAGGATTACAGGCATGAGCCACTGACGCCCAGCCTATTTACTGTTTTCTATTGAATAAATTTATCTAAGAGTCTAATAGAAATTATGATTAGAAAAAGAGCTATGATAAAATTTTTAGGTGAACAACAGAGTCTCATCCCAGAACACAAAAAGTACATTTCTAATCCAAACATGGCATCTAAAATAATACAAATAAACAGTTAAGTAGGTAAAGAATGTCTGTTCCCATCTTCCCTCCCTCTCTTCCTGTTTCCCTCCCTCCCTCCCTCCACAGGAGAACATTTACCAAGCCAGGCCAAGGGGAGGAGGCCCGGGTCAGAAAGGACAAGCAGAGGGAAGTAGGTCCAGGTGGACAGAGGGTGTATCCCATACTCAGGTCATTCAGGTCACTCCACTCCACTGAGGTCTGGGCCTCACCTGTCCTACTTGTGTTTACTATCTAGTATTCTCAATGAACTAGCTCTCTAGTATTTAGTGATATTTCCATGGTACTGAGAGAGGATAGACCTAGAATATTACTGTTATTTCTAACTGCATGTTAAACAAAGAACAAAGGAAGTGTTGGATTAATAAAGGTTCCATTAAAGCAATGCTTAATCTAGGCCCTTTGTCTCAGATGTGAATTGTTAGGAAGCAGACAAAAAAAGTAATTTAGAGAAAGAAAACATGAAATAAATGTTCAATCAGGAATGATCAAAATATCATAAATTGTCAGAGAATACAAATTTGCTATCTAGTTAAAACTAAAAATTAAAGTTGGCTTTTGAGAGCTCCACAATATCCAGTAGTCAGCAGATGATCTACTGTGTTCAAGGAAGGCACACTTACTCACAAATGGAGTCTTCACACTTAACTCACAAATGGAGTCTACATAGAGCCACTGCTGGGGTTCCTAGTACTAATGACCAGATACACTGTGCTCACCAAACATTCCAGACTTGTTAGTTACTCCAAACATTGTTTTAGATGAGACATTATAAAATTTAATGAAATGGTGAGATGAAGCTCAGTAGCTTCATGCCACAGGGTATACTTAAATATGAAACAAGCTAGGCACCAGTGGCTCACTCCTGTAATCCTAGCTACTCAGGAAGCTGAGATCTGAAAAACAAGGTTCGAAGCCAGCCCAAACAGGAAAGTCTGTGAGACTCTCATCTCCAATTAACCACCAAACAGCTGTAAGTGGAGCTGTGGCTCAAGTGGTAGAACACCAGCTTTCAGTAACAAAGCTAAGAGAGAGCCCTGATACTGAGTTCAAGCCCCAGTACCAGTGTGTGTGTGCACACATGTGCACACACACTTACATACACACATCCAAAATGTCAAACAAATATAACTATGCTCAAACAAGGAAAGAAAACCAGTTAGTAATATTGAACTTAAACTGATTAGTTAATAGACCAAGCATCAAAATTAAAATTCTTAAAGCATTCTACTATACTTACCTCTACTAAGTAATTTTGGCTTCCGTACATAACATACTGGGGAGCAAGACTGTAAATCATGTAGCTAGTGTGGAGGACAATAAGCAGAAGGATCATACAGAGAAACAGCAGGGCCTGAGGTCTTGTTCTCCCTCTTCTGATTTTATATAACTGGAAGGGAGAGACAGAGACAAAGTATCAACACTGTATTCTACCAGTGGGGCATGAAGTTCTATTCTCTGGGGAAGGCTGGCATAGTTCAAGCAACCACTTCTCTGTTCCAAGTTAATTACTAAGAATCCTTTGTCATTCCAGATAATTCTGCTCTCTGAAGCTTTTAAATTTAATCTTTAAGTTTTTTTTTCATCTGTCACTTGTGGGGCTTGAATTCTGAGCCTGGGTGCTGTCCCTGAGCTCTTCAGCTCAAGGCTAGCGCTCTACCACTTGAGCCACAGTGCCAATCCAGTTTTTTGGTGGTTAATTGGAGATAAGAGTCTCACAGACTTTCCTGCCCAGGCTGGCTTTGAACCCTGATCCTCAGATCTCAGCCTCCTGAGTAACTAGGATTACAGGCATGAGCCACTGGTACCTGGCTTTAGTCTTTTAAAATTATGGCAGAGCAGCTACCTTCATGAGTTCTTAAGATCCTATCCCCAGAGCTGGGAGCCAGTGGCTCATATCTGCAATCTTACCATACCAGGGGATGAGATTTGAAGGACCAAAATTAGAAGCCAGGAAGGCAGGAAGGTCTGCTAGACTCCATCTCCAAAATAACCAGCAAATGCTGGGCTGACGGTATGGCTTAAGTGGTAATGAGCCAGCCTAGTAAATAAGCCACACAAACCCCAATACTGCCAAAAGGAAAAAAAAGGAAATTGGAAAAACAGAACCTAGCAAACTTATCAAGTGTTCACATGGTTGGTTTCCAGACTGTCCTTGTAAACTTACTGCTCAGTAGAGTTCCATACAACCAAAGACAGCCTGAATATCTACTTGTATCTAAAGACTAGACATATCAATTTAAACTTCAAGAGTTAGTAATACATTCTTGGCTTGTGCTTTTATATAACATTACTGGGCAAAACCAGATGTCATGTGTTTACAGAAATCCATTTCCATGACATACTCATGAAATCTTCATATTATACTCTGCTATAAAATACAGTGTATGGATAGATATTTTTCCATATATCCATTCAAATATTTGGTAACTACAGTATTAGAGGGCCACATTCCACCTCCTTGCAACTTCACAAGCCTGTGCAGTTCAGACTAACAGAATGCCAGCTCCAGATGAAATGACTGTAAGATCACTTAAACCTGTTCACGGTTCAGCTTCCCTTGTGCCTTGTGGGAGCCACAAAAAAGAAGGCTAGGGGGTTCTGGGACAGCATGCCCCCTCTGCTCTCTTCCAACAGAACATGCATGGGATCAATGGAGTTACAGCAGCTATACTGCAATCATGAGGGAGAGAAAAGGACAAGAGATAATGGACCCAGCACTCTCCCTCTGTATTATGAAGTCTCCAATGATAAACTATTTTACTCACAGCTATAGTAGTGTCTATCTGGCTTAGCTTATTCTTTTTTTTTTTTTTTTTTGATTTGGTGCCTTAAGCTTTTTTCCCTCAAGGCTGGCCAAACTCTACCACTTGAGCCATAGGCTTCCGGCTCTTTGTTACTTAATTGGCAATTAGTCTCTAAGATGTGTCTGTCTGGCTCTCCCAAGCAGCTAGGATTACAAGCATGAACCACTAGTGCCCAGCATAAAACTCTTAAATGATGTTAAGTGAGTATAAGAAGAAAAAAACCCTTCACACATACCTGTCCGTTGGTATCTGTGGGGGCTGGTGTAAACTGACTGAGATTCATATCTATTGGCCTTTCTAGTGTAGTGTTTGAATAGAACCTACATCTGCCTGTCTTCTAGATTACCCACAACAACTAGTATAACGTAAAATGGTTCACAAGGGAATGGACAAGGAGGAAAATCTGTACACATTCAGTCCAGGAGCAGTGTCCTTATGTATTTTCTGTGCAAGGTGGGTAAAACCCACAGACATGAGCCCACGGGTATAGAGTGTCTGCAGGGGTAGCACTGTCACATTCTGAGACACAGAACCACAGGTACAGTCTGCACTGTACAAGCTGGGTGCTGGTGGCTCATACCTGTAATCCCAGCTACTCAGGAGGCTTAGATTGGAGGATCACAGTTAGAAACCAGCCCAGGCAGACATACCCAGAGACTTTTATTGCCAATTCATCAGTAAGAGCCAAAAACAGAATTGTGGTTCAAATGCTAGAACGTGTCTAGAGTGAAAAAGCCAAACAACAGCAAAAAGCCCTGAGGACCAAGCCCTACTACAGCAAAAGGCCCTGAGGGCCAAGCCCTACCACAGGCACAAAACAAAATAAGACACATTTTTATGTTGTGGTGAAGGGAAAAGTCACCAGTCCCATCGCTTGTCACATCAGAGAAAATGTACACAATGAACTTAACAAAAACATTTACTTACTCTAATCCAAAAGAACCATATGCCGATATTTCGAATTCCTGCCATTGAAGTAAAAATAAAGTACATAATAATAATTGTTATAAGAATATAATCGAGAGGGAACACCTGGAAAAAGATAAAATCATATTTAATACACAAACTGCAAAGCTCTAGAAGTCATATAATATTAACTGGAAATTGTATTATTTGATAAATATCATTATTAAGCCTGATGATTTAGATTAAGCTACTATGATAACAGCATAAAAAAGAATTCATCAAAAATACTAATAAGTATCAAACAAGTATCCAGTTTTTTAGTACTATTACCCTAAGAAAAATTCTAAAATAAGAAAAATTCTAAAATAAATCAAACTACAGCCCACATTTTTGTAGGAAGTAAAAGATTTCATTAAAACTGAAACAAGCCTGGTGTCTGTGACTCATGGCTGCAATCCTTACTGCTCAGGGAAGTGACCTCTAGGATGAAGATCCAAAGCCAGGCCAGGAACAAAGTCCAAGAGGCTACCTCCAATTAGCTAGCAGAAAAACTGGACTTGGGGCTTGGCTCAAGTAGTAGAGTGCCAGTCCAAACAACAGGGAGCCCATGAAGCCTTGAGTTCAAGCCTAACACACACATACACACACACACAATTTGGGAAAGTTCATATATGTCATGGACTGTTCCCAATTGAATTTGGCAATGTATCAATATAATAATCTTTAACACAATAATCTAAACAAATAATCTCACACTTGTAAAGAGCCAAATATACTTCAAGTGCTGGAAAGTTTTCACCATAACCGACTACATGGGGCAGGGTGAAGGGTAGTCAGTGGTACTTTACTGTCTGTAGTGAAGGCAGCTTGCTGGGGTATGAAGTAAATGCTACTTCAACTTACTGTCTGTAGTACAGGCAACAGCATATTCAGTGGATTACTCAGGTTAGCTCCAAAAATTACAAAACCAGAATCAATTCCAGCTGAATGAAGAGCTTTATCTAAACTACATACAAATAGAAAAAAAATAAGAGTTAATATGATATACTATCATCTCATCAATCTATGAAGAACATCATTGTAACTTAAGCAGGAAATTCAGCTGAATTAAAGAAAACAGGCAAAATAAATTAATCCCTCATCCAAATTTCTCACAGATAGCATTAAATTATGCAGGCTAAGAAATACTGCCAATGATTGGACTTTTTAGCTGTTTTTCAAATTAATGTTGTAGAGTACTTTACGTAGCACAGTTATTCAAGATTAATGTGCTACACTAATGGAATTCATAATGAAGGATATAGAATACTACAGAACTTCTGCAAGTGCTATATAAATGAATCTATTGTACTTACTTTGACAGGAAGAGAGAAATTACAAACAGCAATGCAACTAAGATGAAAAAGATTCCCCATATGATCTAAAAGCAAAAATATATTCATTACAATAGAGTCCTAAGAGATGGATTAAAAGCACAACTCCATTATGCTTGATATAAGTTGCCAGCATATAACAATGATATAATTAAAATGATCTGAGACTTACTTTAATTTAGTATGTAAACCCAGACATTTATGCCTACATTTTCATTTTGAGACTATTTAAGAACATATATACAACACAGATAAAGCACTTTAAGTTTTCACTATAAGCAAATAAAACTCTCTGATCAGATACAAGGTTTTTGTCTTCACTACACTCAAATAGGATAACTGAGAGGTATACACACACATACAAAATCAAGAGGCTCATGTTTTATTATTCTTGAACCTTGTACATTTTCCCGTAGAAATACTGATATACATTTAACTGCTCAGAAAGAGACAGAGACAGAGAAAGACAGAGAGAGAAACAGAGAGAAAGAGAGAGGGAGAGGGAGAGAGAGAGACAGAGAGAGACCGAGAGAGAGACAGAGAGAGAAAGAGACAGAGAGAGAGAGAGAGAGAGAGAGAGAGAGAGCGACAGAGAGACAGAGGGGCGGGGGAGGGCTACAGGAGTGACTCTGTTCCTAGAACTGAGTGCTGACGGCACCAGGAAGGAAGTGCCAGGTGGACGCACTCTGTGGAGAACATGTTCAGCATTAGCGCTCGTGTATCCTTTCAGACACTGACAAGAACCTCCTGGGAAGAAGAGTTGGCAAAGAAAGGATGGGAAGCCTACAGACATCTTCTGAAATAGAGTAACACTGTGTGTTAGCTACTTAAGACACTGGTGTTCCTCATGATTTAGGTCGTTTTGGGTGGGGCACAGTGATGCATATCTCTAATCCCAGCTACTTAAACAGAGTAAGGGCAAAAGTATGAGACCTGAAAAATAGAAACTAAAGATCTTGGAAGATGGCTCAAGTGTTAAGAGGGCTTGCCTAGTCCAATACTCAGTAGCAACTATATATAATTGTTAGCTTCAAAAGGTTAGAACAGGAGAGACAAAATAGCTCAACACCAGCATAGCACACAGGAAAAACAAATCTGTAAGGGGAAAATCCTTCTCCAAAGCTCCTTGCTTACAGTCTGTGCATTTACAGTAAGTCCAGGGGAAGCAACTCACACCAGTGGAGGGAATAAGGTCACACCAGAGGACTGGAGCAGAGCCAGGCGATCTGCTCAAGTTCCAAACAGGCTCTAGGGCCTGCCATGAGTTGATCAGGTCTAGGGGAACGGGCAAGGTGTGGGTGGTAGGGAATCAAGACACTGTTCTGGGGCCTCAAGATCAGGATGCCCAGCTATCTGGACCTCATATAAGCCAAAGGTACCTGGCCTCCTGGACCTTACACAGGTAAGGAAGCCCGGCTGTCTGGACCTCATATAAGACAAGTACCTGGCCATCTAGACCTCACACAGGCAAGGACACCCGGCCATCTGATCTCACACAGGTAAGGATGCCTGGCTGTCTGGACTTCACACAGTACGGACACCCGGCCCTCTGGACCTCATGTAAGACAAGAGTGCCTGGCTGGACCTCACACAGGTAAGGACTCCCTACAGTAACAAAGGTTCCACAGTAATGGCATAATCCCTTCTACTAGATTTGGGCACCTGCATTTGGTGCTTAGATGAAATAGAGGCAATACTTTTATACTGAGGACCAACAAATCATAGCACTTCCTAGACAACTGTTAATAAAAACTCGCTCATAGCACGAGGCAGTATCATTACCAGACTCCAATTAGTAGTCTAGCACAGTGCATAGAAATGTACTTGAAACTAAGATTTCCTTCTGTTGATATACATTTTGGCAAACAAAAAGAAAGTAATAAAAATCCTTTTCTATCTTACCAATCTGCTGGGATGAATGATTAAGAGTTGTACTGTTTAATTACTTAACACATAATACTTGGCAAAAAAAACCCTGCAAATATTTGACCTAAGAGATTCGTGCCAGTGTGACCACATTGCACTGGTGCTATTTATTTTGAAATAAAATTAAACTATAAAGGGAACACCAAGAACAAAATTGGTGAAAATGTTCTCTTCTATACTATCAATAAGAAACTACGTCAAGTGTCAGCATCAGCTTTTCAACACTTTGGAAATCCAGCAGAGACACGCAGCAGTCCAGGAATGCTTGCGTCTCAGGAGAAGGGTCCAGTGGCTCTTTCTGAGGCCCCGAGCCTCTGGAAGGACGTGCCTCTCAAGTCCACTGCCCAGAGCCATCACCATGTTCCCTGTGGCTCTCCACAGGATCCCAGTGGCATGCCAGTTCTATTTGTTCTCTGCGAGTGCTCACGCAATGCTAAAAGCCTCTGCCGAAAAGTGCTGGCCAAAGCAAACTATAAACCATCTAGGAACCTCAGGAGGTTAAGCCAGCAGACAGCAGGACAAATTAACCAACAGGCTTAAAATATAAAGCTAAGGCGATGAGACATGTCATGTTGCCAGGAATCTGGAAGGCCCTACATCCACGCTGGCAGGTGGTGACCAGGAAGGGTGTGAGACAGCCTGCCACACAGCTCTTCAGACACCAAAGGTCCACATCACAGAGCAGTGAAGGCTGAGCTGCGGGCCTTCTGGGCATTGAAAAAGTACACATCACACACACACAGACCCTAGGCAAAGATCAGACTGGCTATCGGCAGGACTTCAGGAAAATCACCAAGGACCTCAGTAAGCACAGACAGCAGAGGATACAGACCTTACATGATTAGTTCTCGAAAACCACTGGGCCATGACAGCAGAAACAGGCCTAACCTGGGGGCAGGGGAAATCTAACTTCTAACTACTACACTGTGTCATTTTTAATTGGACTTCAGAATCATATAAGGATGTTGGGCCTGGAACAGGCCATGGAAAATAGTGACAAGCTAGGCAGCAGTAGCTCATGCCTGTAATTCTGGCTGTTCAGAAGGCTGAGATCTGAGGACCCTGGTTTGAAGCCAGCACCTGAGGCACTAAGTGGAGATATAGACCAAGTGGCAGAGTGCCTTGTGCAGTAAAGCTAAGGGACAGCACCCAGTGCCTAAGTTCAAGCCCCAGAAGTACAAACAAATAAAAATAAAAATAAATTAAAGGTGTTATGTTTATCCATGTTTGGAAAGAGAATTTGATTTGAAAGACATTCTCTTTCAGCCCTCCAGAAGCAGTCTGACCTTCCATTTCCTGTGCGGGGCACTGTAAATGACAGTCATCCCAATCCCCCATGTCAAGTTGGGTGGGAAACTTGTACATCTTCAAGGCTTTTCCAAGAGAGGACAGCCACATGGTTTTCCTTCCCCAGTACTGAGAGCTCACCTCAGGAGTCAGGGAAAGTGAGGAGAAGGAGGCTCCTCTAATACTTCAAGCACCTTTCTTAATGCTTTTCTAAATGCTAAAAGATTTTAAAAAATCCATTCTCCTCTTTTACAGAATATTATTTTCAAAGTGACAAAGATTATCAGGACAATTTCTCAATGTAGTCCCACTTAGTTCTTGATTACGGTGGTAATTTTCACTGTTATCTATTAGGAACAATGTATGCAGTTCAGTATTTAATCACTGAACACCTGACAAAGGGATGAGAAGGGGTGGTGGACTAGTTGGGGAGATCTAATGAAAGCTAAGACTATAAAAACTGTATTAACTTCAGATATATACAGGCAAAGATAGTACAAAGAATTACAGTATGCCCTTCACCCAGATCTTCCAAATGGTAGCATTTTATTTGATGCTTTTATCATAGCCTCTATAATCAGAGAGAATAAGAGAATAAGTTTTTTGAGAATAAGTTACAGATAAAATGACTTAGTAACTACCAATGTCCTAAAAGCAAAGACATTTTTCATATGATTACAGTACAATGATCAAAATCAGGAAATTAAAATAGATACAACACTCTTATCTAATCTAATTTTGAACTGTTCCATTAATGTCTTTTTCTAAACCAAAATGCAACCTAGGACCATGATGCGATGCTTGTGTCCTTTATCTTGAACACATCCTACTTGCTTTTCTTTCCCAACATAAGACATTCTGAAGAGAGGAGCAGTTGTTTTAAGAATGTCTCTCAATGTGAAATGTCTTGTTCCCATGATTCTACTCTTCTGGACGCACCCGTCAGGAACCACAACCCTGTTGTGGATAAGTGGACTGGGGCCGTCAAGCTGTATCACTGAAGTGCAGGAAAATTCCATGGTGTACTTTTACCTCTGCTTCCCATCCACCCTGAATATGCAATTACTTTCCAAGTGAAAGGAGTCTTGGTTTTGTTATAATCTCATAGTCGTTAGGGAGGACAAAAGGGTGTTACCATTTTGGAAAACACAGAACAGCAGATTTTTAACAAGTAAAACATAGAACCCGTAAAATCAGAAATTCTACTCCTTGGTTTTACCCAAGAGAAATAGATGAAATTACATAACCACAGAGATCTGTGTGAAAACTTTGCTATCAGCAACATGACTGCCTTCATTTACCTAGCACTTAAATTCAGATACCAGAGACCTATAAACAATGGCTTCCAAAAATGAGAACACAATGGTCTTCCCTTTCTTCATACTTCCAGAAACATCTTCTAACAAGGAAGCACATTCTTGTGGGCAAATCTGGACTCTCCTTTCCTAATTACAGCAAGTACCCACCTGCAAAGTATGCTAACAGCTGCTGTCTTACTGAGCTTTGTTTTTGTTTACCTTTCCTTGTTACAGCACTTACATAGGAGTATACAAGGCTCTAAGGGTTACATACCCTGCCCAACTACCAAACAGCACAACTGTGACTCAAACCCAGACAATTTCAACAGCAGACACCCTGCTCTCAGTGTCATACTGAAGGGCTCAGAAGGAGAACCACATATCTGAAGAGTACTACAGAAATTTGAGGGAAGACTGACTACTTCATTTTTCCAAACTCCATTTACCTTCAGGGGACGCAGAGCACCGCAAAACTTCGTCCACCAGCTGTTTTCGATGAATTCTAGGTGCCTCTCTCTTTTCTTAAGTGTTCGTAACCTTTCTTCAAACTGCTTCAAGGCACGTTTATCCCTGGCTGGCAGAGGCCGACCATCTCTGCTCTGCAAGTAACAGAACAAATTAAAGAACAAATTAAAGATTTTCTTCCTTTTATCATTAAGTCTCAATAAAGTACTCAACAGATTTAGCAGACCAGACAATGATGTTTTCTTTTCGCTCTTGGGCCATTTTATAACTTGAAAAACTGACAGCTTCAATGCAATGCTAAACATACCTCAGTCAAGGTCAGCATCAAAATGTACATGTGCACATGTTTTACACTGACATCCCTGTTGCGTTTTCTAGGTATGTTGTTGTTGTTATGGTTTTGTTTTTTTTTGTCAGTCATGGGGTTTGAACTCTGGGCCTGAGAGAGCACTGTCCCTGAGCACTTCAGCTCAAGGCAAGCGCTCTACCACTCGAGCCACAGCGCCACTTCCAGTTTTCTAGTGGTTTATTGGAGATAAGAGTCTCATGGTCTTTCCTGCCTGGGCTGGCTTTGAACCGCAATCCTCAGATCTCAGCCTCCTGAGAAGTTAGGATTACAGGCATGAGCCACCAGTGCTCGGTTGTTAAATTTTGATTAGAAATTTGTGAAAACATTCCATACAAAAGGAAAGCATTTGTAGAGGTATTAGTTGGGTGCCTGTGGCTCTCACCAGTAATCTTAGCTACCCAGGAGGCTGAGATCTGTGGATAACATCTCAAAAACAGTCCCAGCAGCAAAGCCCATGAGACTCTTACCTACAATGAACTACTAAAAAGTTGGAAATTGAGCTGTGGCTCAAGTGGTAGAGGGCCAGCCTTGAGTGAAAAAAATAAAAGACCACGTACAGTTCAAGCCCTGATACAAGCACACAAAGAAGTGTTAACTACTATGCATTTCCTCTATTGCTCCCTTCACCTCTAAACTCCCTCTCTATCCCTTATTTTAATTTGGCTCCGGCCGTTGCCTCCTTTTAGTCAAAAGGCTCTCTTTTCTGAATTGATTCGGTCTGTGAGCCCGATTCAAATACTGCAGCAACTCCACAAGAGAGGGCTGGGCTTGAGCGCAAGTAGAAGTGGACTAGCCACACCCTGAGTCAGTTCCTGAGAGCATCACTGGGAAGACAAGACAACAGGTCCAACCACGCAGGCGACACGCGCCACTGGGGCTCTGCAGCCACTGCCAAGAGCTGGCACCTCCCTGGTCTGCAGGCACCTCTGCAAAAAGCATGCTCCCTTTGGCCAACCAGCATGGTAAAAGCATGTCCACCCATTTTTATGAGGCTCGAACTCAGGGCCTGGGTGCTCTCCCTTAGCTTTTCTGTTCACAGGCTAGCACTTTACCATTTGAACAACAGTTCCACTTCCAGGATTTTCCTAGTTAACTAGAGACAAGAGTCTCATGGACATTCTTGCTTAGGCTGGCTTTGAACTATGATCCTCAGATCTCAGTCTCCTGGGTAGCTTCAACAGTCTCTTCGCATATTACAAGTCTCTTCTGAAACCAACCATCCTCTTCCATAACTTAGTAGTTTCTCAAATTTGATCACATATAATAATTATCTGACAGGTTTGTTAAGCACAGATTTCTAGGCCGTACCCTAGAGAATACAATTCAGCCTGAAGACAGGCTAATTCTACTTGGCCAAAGACTGTTTTTCCTATACACAGGACATACTTTATTACCTTTACTTCTTCAAGAACTTTGTGCCAAGTACATTAGGTACTTACAAATTGCATCCCAGACATCTTATAACAACCTTATAGGCCAAGGGATAAATGAATCCCTCACCCCCACCCCAAGCCCCGGCAAGGGAGGGATGGAGTAATGCTTCAAGTATGATGTGATGCCAAACGGAATGGAAAAAGAGGAGGCAGAAGCTTTGTACTTTAGCTGTTACAACGCTGCTAGAAATGTTCAGTCTGTCAGTGTATGATCCTATGTTATACAGAAGATACATTTCAAAAATAGGGACATGTCCCTGGAAGGATATATTACAAGACAACGAGGGGCAGGCCAGTGCTGGGATCCCACCACAGGCCGCTCAGCCTCCCAGCCCCATCTCAGCGCTGGCTCACCTTGGATCGGATCGTCTGGATGTGCTGTTCCACCTCCTCCATGTCTTCAGTGTTTTCCAAACGCTCGTACGTAGCACTTCTGGTGCCTTTGATCAGATTTAAGGGCAAGGCCGACATGCCATAGGCCTGAAAAAGACAGTTGAAATATGCTGGAATAGCTCTACTTTAAACAAATTATACACAATTGTGAAATGTAAAAAAATCATTTAGAGCAGAAACTTAAAAGTGGCCCATAGTGCAATGTCACTGGACAGCCTGGCATCTGGGAGCAAGTCACATGTGTCTTCTGTGTCACGGTCACACTTAGGTGCCTCTGTTCATCACACTTATCAGGGACAAGTTGCACATTTAACATACATATATCGATGAAGGTAGTAATCAAGATAGTATGAATTACTAAAAACAATTTGTATATCATATTCTATAAAAGCAGAAACATTTTCTCCAAGCACACATAGTAAACCTTAGAAAATACTTTTAATATATATGCAACATTTTATAAGTGTACTGGTCATCAAACTTTTTAGCTATTAATTAGCTCTGATAATAAACATACTATTGAACATATCAACTCCATATTCCAGTCCCAAATGATACTTTTTCTCCTAATAATTAATAAACAAGGTATTCACCTGTGGCTATTTATTCAAAAACGTTATTGACCTTAAACTCTGACTGGCAACTGAAACTTCCTGGCTGTACCAACAGGGTCTGAAACAGACAGTAGCTTATAATTTTAAATCTTTTTTTTTTTCTTTTCTGGTGCCAGTTCTGGTGCTTGAACTCAGGACTTGGGTACTGTCCTGAGCTTTTCTGCTCAAGGCTGGCTCTTTACCACAAGCCACTTCTGGCTTTATTAGTAATTAATTAGAAATAAGTATCTAGGCTGGCTTCAACTGCAATCCTCAGATCTCAGTCTCCTGAGTGGCTAGGCACTGGTTTAGAATCTAAAAGTCAGATGGTCTTCCTGGATTATCTGCTGGTCTCACTTTCCACAAATCCATCTTCTAGATGGCTTCCAAAGTGATTTCATTCTAATATGTGGTCCAATATGTGGTCCTTCTAAGGTCCTCCAGGAACAAGTCTGATCACACTGTTCTTCTGAGTTCCTCCAGGAATATGTATATACATACACCACACTTCCTTGATTCATTCATCCATTGTGGAACATCTGGACTGCTGCTGTAACTTGGTGATGAACCATGTGCAACTGTCTTTACTGTATCCTGACATAGTCTTTGGATAAAAGAGTGGTACTGGAGGGTAGTTTTATGTGCATTTTTCTGAGGAATATCCAGACCACCTTCTAGAGCAGTCACACCAACAATGCAATAGGGTTCCTTCCCCACATCTGTGCTAACACTGTTGATGTTCCTAAGATTCTGTGAGGTCCTACAGGACCCTTGTGGGAGATGAGAAGGCAGTGAACCTCAGAGAAAGTGTATGTGTTTATTTCATCTAGATGGTTTTAAAAGGTTTGTTTTTTTTTAATCAGAGGTAGAATTAAGCTCTTGTGAATAGATTCCAATTAATGTAAGCCAGCATACTGCCAATATAGTCCTTTTATTTCACATCTTACCATTTTTCACCAATCTTACCACTCCAGTCTTATACTACTTCAGTCACAGACATAGTCCACACTGTTAATACATGCCACTCCTTTCATAGTGCTGTAACAGCTTCCCAACCTGCACCATCAGAATATGCCAGTGCCATTCAGGTCTCAGTTGTTGTGACCTCTCTGAGAAACCTTCCCAGAGCCGAACAGATTCCTTGCTTATAACACATGACATTATTTGTCTGTATACTTCTTTTCTTTTCTGCCAATACTGAGGCTTGAACTCAAAGCCTGGGCGCTGTCCCTCAGCTTTCTGGTTAGTACTCTACCACTTGAGCCATAGCTCCACTTCAGGCTTTTTGGTTGGTTAACTGGAGATAAGAATCTCATGGACTTTCCTGCCTGGGCTGGCTTTGCATTGTGATCTGCAGATCTCAGTGTCCTGAGTAGCTAGGATACAGGTGTAAGCCACCAGTGCCCAGCCAGTGCACAGGACTCTAACCACTAGACCTGTTACCTCTGGTTCTCAAACCTGAGCCAGGCTCCTCACAACAGCAGTAACTATACATTAGGACTAAGTTCCAAATCTGTTTCCTTCTCTTTTTATTCCAAAAACCAGCTACTTAATAATATATCAAAATATTTCTGAGAAGATATTGGACTAAAAGTCTTTGAAGGAGCATGAAGTTATTTCCTTACATGGATCTTTGTTAGAAGAAATGGATGGACTGTCTAAATAGCTTGATGTGAACTATTTCAGAAAAAATTAAAAATCGGTAACAACTGTGGCAACGTGAAAACAGAATACAATGTTTTTCTCTGAGTTTTTAATTGTCAGTAGAGAGTAAGGAAGAATATCCACTCATTACTAAGCCTTCAGCCTGTTTTGAAGTCTCATGTTGAAGTTTCAATGACTATCAGGAAATTTAACTGTAATATTTGCATTTTAATAAGCTTGTAATAAACATTTACAAGACATTAAGGGCTTAAATAGCCATATTTTCAATTTAGTCTCAGACTTCTTGAAAAAATATGCAGACACAGTATCCTTTCCAAACATTTTTTTACTGCTTACTACTGCCCTCTAGTGAATTTCTGGAGAATCAGCAAGGCTAAACATCAGAATATAAAATACTAGGTTCGCTATACTGCCTCGGATTTTACTTATTTTGACTTGTCCCAAAAAATCACCAAATTGTTTTAAAATCTTTTCTGTAACCTCATGAATATTTAGTGTAAGAGAAACAAAGGCAAAGGAAACACCAACCCTTTTTGCAAGTGACTGTCAGAAGCACATACAGGCCTCTCCCCCCATGGCCAGCCCTCACCCACGGGCAGCACATGCTAGTTCATTTGTTCCTGGAGAATCTTCCAGCACAGTCAGTCATAAGATGTAGACATATACAGCATGGGTGTGGCCCGTGGGACACAAAAATGGTACTCTACCAGGCACAAGACCGCAGTGAATGAACTGAAGGTTTTTATAAATGGTGAAACGCCTTCCTGAATTCCTAAACTGAGGAGTAGGAAGCACCAGTGCTGAGGACGCCTGGACAGCGCAGATGCAGGGCATAGTACACAATGTAAAGCATGTGCAACACACAGCCAAACTGGATCTCTAGTTACAAAGCATGTTCCTCCAAGGTTAGGGTGGCAGCGGTACAGCAACCATCTTCAATAGTTCTGGGGCTCACAGGGCTGAAGTCACAGCACCAGCTGGGCTGCTTTCTTTTAAAGGTTCCAAGGAGTCCATTTTTTTTTTTTCAACTCTCAGTCTTGTGCTCATGCTTGATTTTTCCACTTAAGGCCACAAATCCACTTCCAGCTTTTTACTGGTTAATTGGAGATAAGAATCTCACAAACTTTGCTACCAGGGCTGGCTTTGAACTCTGATCCTCAGATATCAACCTTTGAGTGGCTAGGTTTACAGGTGTGAGCCACCAGAGCCACTTTCCTGACTAATCTCTTTATCTACTGCTAGTCTCATTTTCCTATAGTTATCAAAGTATCACTTGACCTTCAAAAATCTCTGTGAAGACTCAAAAATAAAACTACAAAAAGTCCATGTTAAAAAAAATCTCTGTGAAGAATTTTCTACACCAATTTAAATCTGGAAGAGATTGATGCAGGAAGGTTAGAAGACAAAGACAATAAACCCAGAATCCGCCTAATAAATCAGTCCCACAACAGCAAGCAGAACTACAGATCTAACTGCTGATTTGTGTCAAATTTGTGACTGCTTCTTTTTTTTTTTTTTTCTGGGTCCGGGCATGGGGCCTGAACTCTGGGCCTGGGCGCTATCCCTCAGCTCTTCAGCTCAAGGCTAGCGCTCTACCACTTGAGCCACAGTGCCACTTCCGGCTTTTTTTTCTTTTTGCTTATGTGGTGCTGAGGAATCGAACCCAGGGCCTCTGGCATGCAAAGCAAGCGCTCTACCACTGAGCCACCTTCCCAGCCCATTGTGACTGCTTCTTAAAGACAAATAACAACTTGCTTTTGTTCACTCCGTGAGAAGGGAAGATAATCACCAGTGGGCTTCAAATGGCAAAGGCCTTTTGTGCTAACACTTAAAAACACAACTGAATATCCATAGTAAGCAACTCAAGTATACTGTGTCTAAGGCTTCTTTATTACAGTTTAGGGCCCATGAATGACAGACACATGAGACATGAAATGCTGCTGTCACCAACAGCCCATTTCTTTTATATCTAGGGGACGATGTATTGGGAAAACCACTACCTTTCACCAAGAATGCTTTAAACACAGACTTTATTAATGTGAAAGGTTCCAGGTTTTTTGTTTTATGTTTTTTTGGGGTCCGGTCATGGGGCCTGAACTCTGGGCCTGGGGGCGCTGTCCCTCAGCTCTTCAGCTCAAGGCTAGCACTCTACCACTTGAGTCACAGCGCCACTTTCAGCTTTTTTCTTTTTGCTTATGTGGTGCTGAGGAATCGAACCCAGGGCCTCAGGGCTCTACCACTGAACCACCTTCCCAGCCCCCAGGTTATTTTAATGCTTCTTGTATAACACTAATGCAGTAGGGAGAATGGTATATTAAAAAAATTATTTGTGCCTTTTCTTCTATAATCTGAACAAAAGCGCTAAACAGAAGTCTGTATCTGAGCTTGTCAATCCTTTGTAATTCATATTAACAGCAGAGTTGGTGAATTATTAGGACTGTATATCCTAGAAAAATATTAAGCTATAAAAAATATCTAATTCATTGGATGCTGGCGGTTCAACCTATAATCCTAGCTACTCCGGAGGCTGAGATCTGAAGATTGCGGTTCAAAGCCAGCCCAGGCAGGAAAGTCCTTGAGAATTTATCTCCAATTAACCACCAGAAAACCAGAAGTGGCACTGTGGCTCAAGTGGTAAAGAGCTAGCCTTGAGCTGAAGAGCTGAGGGGCAGTGCTCAGGCCCAGAGTTCAAACCCCATGATGAACTTCCCCTTCCCCCACCAAAATCAAATTCTACTGATATTCTGGATACTAAGCCTTTGTCAGATATACAGTTGGGAAAAAAAAGATCTCCCATTCTGTAGATTTTTTAGATTAGCAACTATGTCTTTTGCTGTGCAGAAACTTTTGAGCCTAATGCAATCCCATTTGTCAATTCTCTCTCCAATTTGTTGAGCTCCTGAACTCTGCTCAAATTCTTGCCTATGCCAATAAGTTATACTGTAATGTTTCCCCTTCTGCCTCTGAGGTTTGACACTGAGGTCTTTGACCCATTTTGAGTTGATATTAGTATAAGGTGACAGAGAGGAATCCAGTTTCAGTCTTCGACATATGAATGTACAATTTTCCCTACCATTGTTCGCTGAAGTTTTTGTTCAATATATATTTTTTGTTTCCTTTGTCAAATATTAGATAGTTGTAAGTATATGGGTTTATTTTTGGGTCTTCTAGTCTGTTCCATTGGTCTTCAGCCCTGTTTTTGTGTCAGTATCAAGCTGTTTTTATTACTATAGCTCTGTAGTGCAGTCTGAGTCTGGAATTGTGATATACCTCCAGCACTGTTTTTGTTTTGCTCAATAAACTAAGCCCTCAAAGAATCAACCCAATTAATAAATGGACTAAAGAGTTAAATACAGTCTTCTCAGAATAAGAAGTAAAAAAAGCCAGTAAGTACATGAAGACATCCTCAGCATAGCTGGCTGCAACAGGAATGTAAATCAAAACCACACCGAGAATCCATCTCACTAAGACTACAAACACAGGTGCTAGCAGGATGTGGGGAAGGAGCCCTAAGACACTGTTGGTAGAATGTAAGCTGGTGCAGCCCTCAGGAAGGCTTTGGAGAACCCTTAATAACTGACCACAGAACCTAAAATCCAGCCACACCACTCCTGGGCATTTATCCCACAGATTACAAATGATATTGCTGCATTATTCACGATAGTCACATTAGGGAAATAGCTCAGTTATCCTACAATGGACAAATGGATTAAGAAAATACAATTTTGTGTGTGTGTGTGTGTGTGTGTGTGTGTGTGTGTGTGTGTGTGTGTGTGTTATATACCATGGTCTTCTTCTAATCCACCAGGAAGAACACGATATCATTTTCAGGGAAATGGACCAACTTGGAAAAAAGCATGTTGTGATTCAGGCCCAGAGAGACAAAGGGTACATGTTTTCTCTCATATTTAAGTTTGATCTAAATTATATATATATGTAAACATAGTTGTCTGCATATATACAAAAGTATTAACAAATATGGCATACACTCACACTTTATCAAAATGAATTCTAGGAATTCATTGTAGGGGAGGGTTATTAGGAAGGGGTAGACAAATGAAGAGAAAAAGGTTGGCAAATAGTCACAATATTCGACGTACATAGGTGAAAATGAAACCAGGTAAACTGAGATGGATGGGGTTGGGAGATGGGGAGACTACGAAGGAGTGACTGACCAAGATATACTGTACGTACAAACTAATATGTTGAACTGAAACTCCTTTGTAAAACTACTTTCATTTAAAAAAACCACAAACATCCTATAGTCCCAAATAAGGTATATCTACTGAATTAGTAGCAGATATTGATATTAGTAACAGACTGAATTAGTAGTAGATAGTTCTAGTTACTTATACATCTGTAGACCTATTACTGTAGAGTCTATAACTACCTTTAAGGTTCCCAAGTTATATAATTGGTTTTTATATACTAAGTTTCATAAGCATAAATAAAATGTTTATGACTAAATGCTTATTACCAAACTTGCAGTTATAAAAAAGTGGGAGAGTGGAAAAAATGAAAACAGAACTAGGCTGAAGAGATTACTAAGGTAAAAGAATTGCTTTGATTATCAGGCAATGGTCACAGGACACTTACTGTGTACGTTATAGCTGCCAACATTCCAATTAGCGTGAGAGAACTAATGGAAAATGACAATGCAGCCAGGCCATCTGCAAAGGAGGAAAAGTGTGAAACACATATGTATACGACATTCATGTGCTAATACTCATCAAGTACTGTGTAGAAATTAAGACTCCTATCCAGTGCTGGTGGCTCATGCTTGAAATCCTAGATATTCAGAAGGCTCAGAATCGGAGGGTCATGGCTGAAGCTAGGCTCAGGGCAGGAAAAGTCTATGAGATTCATCTCCAATTAACCACCAAAAAAACCAGAAGTGGTGCCATCTAGCCATGAGCAAAAAAGCTAAAGGATAGCGAGAGGCTCTGAATTTAAGCCCAAATGCCAGAACAACCACAACAAAGAAACGAAGAGTCATTCCACATTGTGGAGGAATAAAACAAGAAACAAGCTATGTCCTTAACACTGCAATGCTGACTGGGAAGAAGAGTTTTTAGAGGGCCTTCAAAAACAGATTTGTATACGAGCCTTCAGATTATCTAAGAATTGCTTCAACTCTTACGCTCTCTACAGGCCCGGTCAACAACTGTCCACAGGGAGCCACTGATTGTACTTCTGCCCTTCTCTCAATCTTGGTCTTTCTCAGTTTCATTTTCCTTAGTCTTCAAGTAATAGAGCAATATATAGCCTAAAACTAACATGTTAAGCATTTATTTCACTTTTTTTGTTGTTGTTGTTGGTTGTGAGGCCTGAACTCTGGGCCTGGGCGCTGTCCCTCAGCTCTTCAGCTCAAGGCTAGCACTCTACCACTTGAGCCACAGCACCAGTTCCGGCTTTTTCTGCTTATGTACTGCTGAAGAATTGAAACCAGTGCCTCATGCATGCAAGGCAAGCACTCCACCACTGAGCCACCTTCCCAGCCCTTATTTCACTTTTCAACTCACAAGGATTGTCAACTTGGGAGAAAAATAAAAGCAAACACAGAAAGTCTTTTCAAATATAATACTTAAAAAAAAAAAGGAATGTTAGTAGAGTGTGGAAGAACATGCCTGTAATCCCAGCACTCTGAGAGACAGGAAGACCAAGAGTCCAAAGGCAACCTTAGCTATTGTAGTAAGATCCTCTATCAAAAATGAAACATGAGCTGGGTACCAGTGGCTCATGCCTGTAATCCTAGCTACTCAGGAGGCTTCAATCTGAGAATCACAGTACAAAGCCAGATCAGGCAGAAATTGGAGACACTATATCCAGTTTACCGGTAAAATGATGGACTAGAGGCATGGCTCAAGTGGAAGAGTGCCAGACATGAGAAAGAAACCATACGAAAGTACAACAGTGTAAGACTCAGTACTAGCACACAACAAAAAGATCAAACAATCTGGGTAAAATGTGATAATTAGTCAAAAAAAAGAGACTGAAGATACTCTTTTGATAAGGCAGGGACTATGATCTGGGTATTAATACCCACAAACACATATGTGAAGTGTGTATCCATGGAATAAAGAAATGATAAAGAAGTTATGGTACATTCACAAAGCACATTAGTTGGCTGCAAGTATTTAAAAACATTATTTAGTGAGAAAAGGTATATATAAAACGGAACTGCAAATTTGCATTAGTGATAGTTGAAACAGTAGTTTCTCTTGTCAGAGATACTAACTGGACAGGTATACTGCAGACATTTCCAAAGCAATGGATATGTCTGTCCTACACCTTGACTGCAAACAACTAACCTTGTATACATTTTACTATGTAAAGTGTCTGTTCAAAATATATATATATATCTTTGATGCCTAAGAAATGTAGAGAAGTGGGATAAGGAAATAAAACTTCAAATTAAGAACACTTGGGCGACTGTTTTTAACCTTTAAAAGCAGCAGATACAGTAGCATAAATGTTCTCTAGAATATGGTATGCTTAGGATCTGAAAAAATAAGGAACTAAAAAAAGTGAGGGTACCAAACTCAGAATAATGCTACCTATCTAGTCACTGGTTCAAGTTATCCTGTCCTCAAAGAACACATTGACTTGTGAGATCACATCCAAGGAGAAGAGCAATGTTCAAAGCCCTCAAGCAATTAATGGAAAGAAAAGAAACAATTTATTTCTCAATAGTAGGTTCCTTGTTCATAAATCTTGGCAATCCACTAAAAGATGCCAGCCCTGCTCTTGCTGGTATCAGCAAGATATTAATGGGCTACAATTAGCAAAATGAAATCTTAAGTGAAAAACAAGGGGCAGATTCCAGGGCAGTACTTAATGTTTCCTACCTGAGTAAAAAGCAAAAATTGATTGCCAAAGAATGTACCTGACCAATCAGAACGAATAAACACAAAAGCATTAACAGTTCTCAGTGTAAATGCTTATAAAAATAAGTATTGTAGGTGTCTTACAAAATCAAAGTCAAATGTAAACATTTTTGAGCAATGTTTTACATTTTTGGTATCTCATTTCAATGGCAAAGATTATTTTCAGTGATTAAATAACCTTCTATTCACCCAACTTGCCTTTTTAAAAATTTTTCTTTAAAAATCTAGGTCACCTGGGTCAGGTTAAAGAGATATTCTGGAAATGCAATGCCAAATACTTTGGTGAAATAAATTTAAAACAAAGCATTTCATGTATTTTTAATCCTCCATAAAAAATTACCGCACTGCAAACAACAATATAGGGCTCTCTTGATAATGAATGATGAAGAGTAAAAATCAACTTATGCAGCACATTCCTTAAGATATTAGAATAATGTTATAGAATAACTCAGTGAATCACATGGAAATGCTAAGGATCTTTACTACTGAAATATTTCTTTTTTCTTTTTTTTTTTTACTTGTCCTAGTACTGGGGCTTTAACTCAGGATTGAGGCTCTCTGTCTAGCTCTTTGTTGAAGGTTGGTGATCTACCACTTGGGCCATAGCCCCACATATGGATTTTTGTTGTTATTGGAGATAAGAGTCTCAGGCCTGGAAGTGGGGCTGTGGCTCAAGTAGTAGAGTGCTGGCCTTGAGCTGAAGAGTGCAGGGACAGTGCCCAAGCCCAGAGTTCAAGCCCCACAACCTACCAAAAAAAAAAAAAAGAAAGAAAGAAAAAAGAGTCTCAGGCTTCCTGCCTGGGCTGGCTTCAAACCACAATCCTCAGATCCTGAATAGCTAGGCTTGAGCCATCATTACCTGGCTGAAATATTTCTTTTGAAACATGGTAATTTTATGCAGAGGCCAAGAAAATAGCTTCATAATAGCTAGACAGAGTGGACTTAACAACTCAGAGCTCCTGATTTCTCCAGCACAAATTTAACCAGAACTACATAATCAACCTTGTAGCAAAGTAAACTCCAAAGGATTAGAAAAGGTACTGTGAATTTTTCTTTAAAGAATACTTACGACTACTTCCAAGTTCTTCAAACAGGAACTTTACTTTCTCCCACTCTGTAGAGTTCTTGTTGCTGGGAAGCGACAGTGGGACAAAAGCACTGCAAAGGAGAAAAGAGCTGTTTAGTGGCTTTAAAAATAAAAAGCTCAGATGGGTGCCGGTGGCACACACCTGTAATCCTAGCTACTCAGGAGGCTTGAAGTCCTGCTCGAAGTCACCCTGGGCAGAAAAGCTACGACACTCTTATCTTTAATTAACCAGCACAAAGGCTGGAAGTAAATCTGTGGCTGAAGTTGTAGAGTGCCATCCTTGAGCAAAAAAACTAAGGGACAACATCCAGGCCCTGAGTTCAAGCCCCGGAATCAGCACAAACAGAAAACAGAGAGAGAGACAGAGAGAGAGAGACAGAAAGAGAGAGAGACAGAGACAGGGAGAGAGAGAGGAGACAGAGAGAGAAGAAGAGAGATAGAGTGTGTTAGTTTAGTTCTCAAAGGCATTGTACAAGTACCAATCTGCAGCATAGATTACCACTTTTCCTCACACCCCTACGGATTGGCACACCCAATCTCACTCAGCTCAACACATGATCTCTGTGGAAAGAGAAAGGCTAATGCTGGCCAGCAGACATGGAATGAGTGATGAATTCAACAGAGCCCAAAGTGAGACTTTCACTTCCTATCTGTCGTCAGGTCAGGTTCTACCTGTCTTTCAGATGGTCTCTCTTCCTTTCTGCTCACTGAAACTTCTCTTGTTCTGACTCACACCTCTCACCCGAAATACGATGATCACATCAACAACAGACCCTCAGAGACTTCAACACTCGGTTTGGGGAACTTCTGAAGCAGCCATATGTAACACTTTCCTGTGTTCACACCCAGACGATGCACACATCATCACTGACTTCCACAGCTTACTAGCACATGACCCACAATTTTTTTTCTGGTCCTGGGTATCGCCCCTGACCACCTCTGCTCAAGGCTAGCACTCAACCACTTGATCCACAACACTACTTCCAGCCTTTTGTGAGTAGTTTATTGGAGGTAACTCAGGGACTTTCCTGCCTGGGAAGACTTTGAATTGTGATCTTCACATCTCAGTCCCCTGAGTAGCTAGGATTCCAGGCACTGGCATAAGCCACTGGCATCAGACTTCAGAAAATCTTAAGCATGACACCCAAGACTCCTGGCACACCGATGGCTAACCAATAGCTGGTGTGGTGTCTTCTCGCTGCCCCTGGGAACACTCCAAATGCACACTGGGTTTCTTTGGTGGTTGTTTTGGTTTTGAAGGGACAGGAAGGTTTAAATTCACACCACACTTTTTTACTCATGAATCAAATATTCCAGGCTGATTTCAGCCACTCAGTTAATGTGTTTTATTGATTGCCCTGTGTCTCCTGAGCATTTAATGAAGTCATGCTAAGGGTTTTTGCTTCTTTACTGATTCATCTGGTTTTTGCTAGTACTGAGTCAGCTTGAACCAGAGCCTCATGCTTGCCAGGCAGGCCTAGCACTGTAGCCACACCCTATGCTCAAGTGTTACTCCAATCCCACACACCTGGATTTAGGGCTTACAGGAACCTACTTCATGTTAGAGGAGGCACAGGGGAGCCTGTGTCCACAGGGTAGAGACCTTTTTTTTTTTTTTTTGGGTCCGGTTGTGAGGCCTGAACGCTGGGCCTGGGCACTGTCCCTCAGCCTTCAGCTCAAGACGAGTGCTCTACCACTTGAGCCACAGAGCCACTTCTGGCCTTTTTTTTTCTGCTCATGTGGTGCTGAGGAATCGAACCCAGGGCCTCATGTATGTGAGGCAAGCGCTCTACCACTGAGCCACCTTCCCAACCCAAGCGGGGGTAGAGACCTTGTAAGAGGAGGAAGAGACTCCAGAGAACTCTCATAGCAGCTCAGGAGAAACAGCAGGAAGACAGATGCTCCCAGAGATGAGGAAGAGACCCTTCCCCACCACAGAGCAGGAAGAGAGAACCCTCTGCACCACAGAGCAGGAAGAGACCCCTCCCCACCACAGAGCAGGAAGAGAGACCCCTTCCCCACCAAAGAACAGGAAGAGAGACCCTACCCATACCACAGACCAGGAAGAGAGACCCCTCCCCACCCAAAGACCAGGAAGAGAGACCGTAAACCAATACCACAGAGCAGGAAGAGAGACCCCTCCCCACCAGAGAAGGAAGAGAGATCCCACTCACAAGACTAGGAAGAGAAATGCTTCCTCACCACAAGACCAGGAAGAGAGACCCCCACCACCACAGTCCAGGAAGAGATCCCTCCCCCCACCACAGACCAAGAAGAGACCCCCACACACTACAGAGCACACCTACTAACATCCTGACCACAGACTTGTAGCTTGCACAACTGTGAGAGCGACTCAGCCCATATCCTTTTACATCTTAATGCTTCTCAGGCTCTACACCAGGACTGACAAACTACCTGGTTACCTGTATGTATATAAACAAACTACCTGGTTACCTGTATGTATATAAACAAATTACCTGGTTACCTGTATGTATATAAACAAACTACCTGGTTACCTGTATGTATATAAACAAACTATCTGGTTACCTGTATGTATATAAACAAATTACCTGGTTACCTGTATGTATATAAATAAACTACCTGGTTACCTGTATGTATATAAGTTAAGTTTTATTTCTATATTTTCTTTTCTTTTTTTTTTAGGGGGGGGTGGGGGGTCCGGTCGTGGGGCCTGAACTCTGGGCCTGGGCGCTGTCCCTCAGCTCTTCAGCTCAAGGCTAGTGCTCTACCACTTGAGCACAGCGCCACTTCCGGCTTTTTTTTTTTGCTTATGTGGTGCTGAGGAATCGAACCCAGAGCCTCATACATACAAGGCAAACCATCTACCACTGAGCCACCTTCCAAGCCCTACATATTTTATTTTCGTGCCAGTACTGGGGCTTGAACTTGGGGCCTGAGCTTGAATCCCTCAGCTTTTTCATTCAATACAAGAGCTCTGCCACTTTAACCACAGCTCTACTTCCAGCTTTCAGCTGGTTAGTTGGAGATAAGAGTCTCATGGAATTTCCTGCCTGGGCTGACTTGACACCTCAATCCTGAGTAGCTGAGATTACAGGCATGAGGCACCTGGCTAGCTGAAACATCTTTATTGACCAGTTACTGAAGAGCTGCAAGAGGACTGGCTGACCACCTTGAAAAACACACCAAGCCTGAAATACTGATGAGAAAACTACCAATACCCCCAATGCTCCAGGCCTCATCATTAGAGAAGCATTTCAGTAAAGTGCTGTGGCGGAGGAAGGGACTGCCATTCAGACAAGCGATGACACTCCCAGTCCTAAAGAGATGGCAGCATGTTACCCACACCTGGATGAAACATTCACATTTGTGTGAAACCCAGCGGGGCTTTTGTTGTTATTCAGATGCTTCTATTTCCATTATCAGGTCGGAAAAAAAATAAGACTTACCCAACTAGAAGAAGAAGTCCGCAAATCAGAACAAATCCCAAGGTGTACTTGAGCGCCACTTTAACCTGCTACATGTCCATGGGAAAACAGGTCATTCAGCAATCCCTAACTGCACACAAGTCTTATAACAGTACAAGACAGCATTCATGACAAATGTGCATTGAAATCAACATTATAAAGGCTCAACTATTGTAAAGAAACCTTAAGATTTAAAGAAAACTAACTGGCATACAAAATCTTAAGAATCTGCAAAAATCAGTTAAAATTTTTAGGGTCAGACCTTTGTGAGCTCCAATGGGTATTATCCAACTATTTAATAAAGCATTCATATAAACATATTGCAATCAGAAACAATACTTCTAATCCAATTCATCAAAATGGGCAATAAACATTTCATATACTGTCAGGATATGTGTTCTGGTAAATATAAAGAATAGATATATATATATTACATATAAATACATATGCATACACAAACACATGTATTTTACAAGACTATGTTTATATATGTGTACCTATACTTACATAGTTTGATACATATGTGTAATCTGGGGGGAGTGGGGGAGTGCAGCTCAGGCCAGCCTCAAACCTGTGATACTCCTGTCTCAACTCCTGAGTGGTCAGATTACAGGACTGCACTACCATGCCTGGCTATGTATGTGTACATGTGTATACATGTACAAAGCACTATTAGAAGAATCTGACACTCTGACTCCCTTAATTCTCAGAACAACCCAGACAGCTGTTCTCATCCTCACTTTAAAGACAAGGAAACTAAGGCCCTAGAGATGAAAGCATTTCCTTAAGCCACACTGGTCACAGGGGATTAAACAAAGAATAGAAATAAAAACCTTAGGAATGTGTAGGCTATGTTTGGATTCCATAATGGAATTCAGAGGACTAACAAACATGGAAAACTCTGAAGAGGGACCAAAAACTAATATTCTCCAAGAAGAACTTAAATCTCTCAACATCACATTATCTGTCCTCTCAGACCAACGAGATCTCCAACAAAGTACCCTGTAGACGTTGGCCTCATGTTTAATATAGTAAATCCTCATCCACAAAGGAGGCAAGAGTCCTTAGGGATACAACTGAGGATCCTGAGATCAGCCAAGGGAAGGGAAGTGACAATATAAATCACACTGAGGTTCTAAGAAATGTGCAGCCTCACCTTCCAAATATGAAGTGGCTTAGTACCTGCAAATAATAATCTGGACTCTGTTATTACTTCCTATCACCAGACACCAATTGTCATCCAGGAGTTACTTAAAATGCACCTGATCCTAATGCAAAAAGCTCTTAAGATTAAGCATGATGCTAGGTTTTGAATCCATTTTTTGTTTTGTATTTTAATAGAAACAAGGCATAAAACCAATTTTTGTGATTCAATAAAAAAAGATATTTCTTTCTTTTCTTTTCTTTTTTTGTCAGTCGTGAGGCTTGAACTCTGGGCCTGAGCACTGTCCCTTAGCTCTTCAGCTCAAGGCTAGCATGCTACCACTTGAGCTACAGCGCCACTTCCAGTTTTCTGGTGATTTATTGGAGATAAGAGTTTCACGGACTTTCCTGCCCAGGCTGGCTTTGAACCGCAATCCTCAGATCTCAGCCTCCTTAGTAGCTAGGATTACAGGCGTGAGCCACCGTGCCCAGCAAAGATATTTATTTCTACCATGTTGCCTTCCCACTGAAAAAAATTTTAAGTATTGCTTTAACATATATCTTTCAACAAGCTATTTTCTTCTTTGATCTGCTAGCTACCATGTCTTAGTAGATTTTCTGTCTCTAAGCCATCCAGGCCATTTAGAGAGGACCAACTTGACTAGAAAAAGTCAATATACTTTTAAAATTCTCCACAATTATATTTAGTAGTACTTTAGTTAACTACCAGGCCTGGTAGTGGTTGTTTATAATCCCAGCTACTCAGGTGACAAGTGACAGAAGGATCAAGGTCAGAAGTCAGCTCAGGCGGTTAGTGTAAAGAATCTGATATTCTGTCTATGGTTAATGTAGTTCTATTTGATATTTAATATAAATGAATTGAAAAATTTATGAATTAAGCCGGGTGCCAGTGGCTCACGCTGGTAATCCTAGATACTCAGGAGGCTGAGAACTGAGATTCATGGTTCAAAGCCAGCCAGAACAGGAAAGTCTGTGAGACTCTTATCTCTAATAAACCACTCAGAAAACTGGAAGTGCTGCTATGGCTCAAGTGGTAGAGCAGCTGCCTTGCTGAAGAGCTGAGGGATGGCACCCAGGCTCAGAGTTCAAGTCCCATGACAGAGAAAAAGAAAAAAGAATTATCCAAGTGCTGAGGTCTCAGGCCTGTAACCCTACTACTCAGGAGGCTAAGTTCTCAGGAAGTGATTTGAAGCCAGACACCTCAATTAACCAGCATAAAGCCAGAAGTGGACGTGTGGCTCAAGTGGTAGAACACTAGCCATGGTCCAAGAAGTCATGCAAGAATGTGAGGACTGAGTTCAAACCCCAGGACTGGCACATACAAAACAACAATAATAATGGTAACAATCACAAGCTTTATATACCTAAGGATTTGAAATTTAGTTGGTTCCAAATCTGTAAGTGTAAAAGACCATGTAAATTCCAAAGACAGTGTGAAAACGAAATTTAATATTGTTTTTATAATATTTTGTGATATTTCAGTTATGTTTAATACAAGATTTATAGTTAAAATTACATTCAACTATTTCTTTTTACTTGAAGTTGACCATGAGGAAGTTTCAAATTTCACATGTATTTCTATTAGACAAAGCCTGATCTAACCGGGGGTCATGTCATTTCTTGAAAAAGCAATCATTTTTAATTAATGAAAATGATAACAACTTTAGGGAAAACTTACAGTGCATTTCCTAGCATCATCATCATCCTTCTCTTCATAGTAGAAGTACACAAAAGGAATCCAGAAGAACACACAGAACAGAATCACAGAGTACAGAGCTGTGGAAATAAACAGTATACTCCAGTAAGAACCACTGCTGCATTTGTAACCCTTTGTCCCTCCATTTCTGTGCCTCCTTATCCTCCCAAAGGCAGAGAAATGAACAAATAAGACAAAAAGAAAAGAAAACAAAAACAGCAACAAAGAAAACCTTGTTTTCATTTCCTGGAGTTCATTTTAATAAATATTATTTTATATGATCAGAGGCACATAAGCACTGTTCCTCTCCTAAGAGTATCCTCCTTTGGTCCCACTCTGTGTGAATGTCTACTGACTTGTATAATATATCATGGCTTGGTGTATTTTAGATTTGCATTCCACATATGAGAAAAATATCACCATTACTTTAAATAATGATACTTGAAAATGGAAAAGGATGAAAATGTTCATAACAGAGAGGTGGCAAAGATTATCCCAAAAATACAGTATCTTAACATCTCTTTTACTTTCACTGAAAGCATCCTATTCTCTTTACATCCTATTCTCCAAGATACATTGTTATTCAGAGAAAAACAAGATGGTGAATAAAATATGCAACCACTGGGGGGAAAAGGAGGGGAAAATACATGTTTATATTAGCTTTCAGGAAGAGGCTACTAAGAAACTAAGCACAGTGACACATGTATAGTAAGAAGCTGGGTATGGTAAAAGACATGTAGTAAGAAGCTTGGCATGGTGACAGGCATATAGTAAGCTAGACATGATGACACACATGTAATAAAAGTTGGGCATGGTGACAGCCATGTAGTAAAAAACTGGGCATAGTGTACTTGGACTCTCAGATCTTAGCCTCCTATAATCCTGAGACTCAAAGTACAAGCCCTATTATTGGCAAACAAAAAACCAACCCCAGGTCCTTGGTTCAATACCCAGCACCAAAAATTTAAAAATACGAAAAAAAAGGATAAATTCCAATCAGGAATTTGAAGGTAGGTAACACTCCTGAACACTTTCATTGAGTAAGATACAACTATTGGAAATATACTCAAGCAGGCATTCTATCATGTGAATCACACATGCCTTAGTACTATATGAAACTATCTAAAGATAGCTTTAAGTATGAAAGGTTTGACTAATTTTCTTCTATAGAAAATCTACTGGTATCACCTAGACTGTCAGCTAAAAAAGAAAAGACACAAAACCCACCATGTCAGGGGCCACTAGTTTAAATCCGAAATCCTACTCTGGAGGTCTCCTGGAGAGCATAGTCTGCAAGTCTCCATTTCCAACTAACCAGCTGCTGAACTGGAAGTGAGGCTTAAGTGCTAAATTGTCAGCCAAGAGCAAGAAGGCTGAGCAGCGGTGCAGAGGCCCTGAGTTCAACCCCTGGTGCTGGCACAAGCACCAAAACAAAGCAAAACAATCCATAAGTCCCAGAAAAACCTTCTTCACAGCTCTTTGAAAGAAATATGTATGTAATCTACTCTCAGTGACCACTGATTAAATATCTGACTGTTAATCTTAGTATTCTAAAAGAGCAACTGCCAAACCATGTTAGTGCAATAATGTTCAGTTAAAACTGTGTAGAACGCAGTACAGCATGAACTCCGCTAACAGGGTAGGTTTTACAGACCCCAGGTTTAGGATCAGCCTTATGGAAAGCCACCAGCCTCGGCCACTTGTTCCCATGCCTGGCAGCGCTACAATCAGAATCAGAATCGATGACCACTGTGGGAAATAAAGTCAGAGGTGGTCCACTCCGGAGATAATGCATGCGGTCCAAGTGGAAAGCTGCTTGTTTATACAATGACTCCGTGTCTTGTGATGTGGCAATCACAGAGGCGATGTACCTGGAGGGTCCTGAGGCAAATGGGACGTGAGGATGGAGGATTGAGGATGCACGGTGTGCATGCCCTACATGCCTTCCCAGCACAACAAACCAAGGGGCTACACAGGCAGAGCCCATTCTAAGAGGAACGTGCATTAGAGTTACTCAGGAATATAATTAAACTTAGGGGAGTTGGGGAAGATTGTACACCTCACAGTACTCAGATGAGGAACAGAGGGGAGGGATTTTTGCATTAAGAAATAAATTGCTTGCTGGGTGCCTGAGGCTCACGCCTGTAATCCTAGCTACTCAGGAGGCTGAGATCTGAGGATCATGGTTCAAAGCCAGCCCAGGTAGGAAAGTCCATGAGACTCTTATCTCCAATAAACCACTAGAAAACTGGAAGTGATGCTGTGGTTCAAGTGGTAGAGCGCTCGCCTTGGGCTGAAGAGCTTAGGGAAAGCACCCGGAGTTCAAGCTCCACGACCGACCAAAAAAAAAAGAAAGAAAGAAAAAAATTGCTTGCTGTCACCTGTCCATCTCTGCCCACCAGACACCCCATCTGGTAAACCACCATTAACCATTATGTCTCCCTTTTGCTGTACTTGAGTTTGTGTGTGCCGGTGCATTTCTCACACCATGCAGCCTATCACACCAATGAGACCCAATCTCCTAGGAGTATATGATAGGACCCAGTCTGAGGCTGCCCTGCAGGACCAAAGCTGAGCCACCCCACAGCAAAGGTAAATTGCTCAGAACAACAGCTGTCACATGGCTTGGCTCCAGCTGGGGGAACACAGTGCACTTTGAGGCCAGCTGTTGGTCCTTATTAAAGTGATCTGTTTTAAGATGATCAAATCTTTCATCTGTAAAAAGTAAAAAACACAAAAGAAAGTGGGAAATGAGGTTCATGAAAAATAAGTCTATTAGAAGAGACTGCATGCATTGTAAAACCTGACAGAAGTGAGGGATGAAAAGAGCACTTTGGGGCTTCAGTTCTGGAATTTTAGTTCTCAGGACCCAAAAGACATGCATCAGGCAATTCGTAGCCAGCATCTCAGAAGACAGTGGCCTTCGCAACTGCACAGTCTTTCAGGGTCCTAGTGAAAGGCCTGACTTCAGATAATCACCATCACAATCATCCAAGTCAGATCTGTTCTGACTTCATGAGCATGAAGAAGTACACTCATCATTTGGCTTTTCCAAGTTTTTTTAGCCCAGTTTCTCCCGGTAATTATATTTTTCACCACAATGAAAGATCCTCAGAGAAGTAAGTCCTAACTCCCAAGATACCTACAGTTTGTAAATTAACTGCTTTCCATTTAAAGTGATAGTTAAGGACAGAGTCAAAGACACACACTTTCCTTGGGAGGTATGAAGAAGGTATACCCTGAGATCCCTTTTTCCAGGGTTTCTCCTCTCCATGACTGAGCTGAAAAAGGCTTCCTGGAGTGAAATTCTGGTTTTCAAGGCCTGGCAGCTACAACTCCAAGAGTGGTTCATGGTAAGACGTGGCTCTCAGGCTGGGACTGAACTACCATAAAGTGGCTGATCACCTGGCCCCAGGGACAGAGGAAAACTACATTTCAGTGATAACTCGGGTAACAGAACTTCCCCCCTCAAAAACATTTTCATCAAAAATGTTTTCAAAGAAGCAGTTTATATCATTCCAACAAATTTATACTTAACATAGAACCACTTCAACAGCTAAAAATTCTGTTTTATGTTAAATGCAGAAATCAGAAACACTAAATTCTATATAAAATTCTAAAAGCTATATCAAAGGAGTCAAATTTCATAGTTCCTATACATTTTGAGTAAAGAGAAAAGGCAAAGATTAGACAGACAACAGCTAATTGAAATCCAATCACACTCAAAACCAATATTCAAATTATTTGTTTTAATGTCCTACTGAGATCTTTCTTATCTGGCATCTTGATTTATTAATGACAGAATAGCATCCCTTTCCTAAATCTGCATTTTTACATTGTTGTAAAATCATAGGCTTTATAGTTATTCAAAAGAAAGACCATTTAGGGGGTCATCTTCGGCTGGGAAAGGGAGGGCAAGGGACAGAGGTGGAAGCCACGTCCATGAGCACTGGATGAAAATGGCCATGCAGAGTAAAGTCAGAGGTGGAAAAACTCCCCAAGGTCACCTCAACCACTGTCAAGACAACATTCTACCCAAGTGCCAGGGCTCTCACACCTGTAATCCTAGCTACTCAGGAGACTGAGATTTGAGAATTGCAGTTCAAAGCCAGGTACAAAAGCCCGTAAGACTCTTGCCTGTGGAGATGTGGTTCAAGTGGTAGAGCATTAGCCTGGAGCTGAAGAGCTCAGGCCCTGAATTCAAGCCCTAGGACCAGCACAGCAAAATGAAAACATTCTAGAAATGAAGATATTAGGCAAGAGAACAAGAGATGTTAAGATTTACAGTAACTCAACTGAACCATCAAGAAATGTTAAGAAGTGAACCTAGTCAGACACAGGTAATTCACACCTGTAATCCCAGCTTCTCAGGAGGCTCAGATTTTAGGATTGCAGTTTGAAGCCAGCCTAGGCAAAAATCTGAGAGACTTTTCTTATCCCCAAATAACATCCAAAAAGCTAGAAGTGAAGCTGTAGCTCAAGCAGTAAAACATCAGCCAGTAAAACAAACTAAACAAGAGTTCAAGGCCCTGCATTCAAGACCCAGTACCGACACACACACACACACACACACACACACACACACACACACACACACACACAGAAGAAAGAATGTAAATGAAGCACAGTGAGTTAAAATAGTGTAGGTAATAGACAAAAATGCAGACAATAATAACTCCATATATTAGATCAAAATTAAAAGTTTATAGTTAGCTCTAGTCTACAGTTTGATTAGGAGACCAAGTAGAAAATGAAACAGAGATACTTACTATAGTAACCATACAACACGGTGTCCTCAATCTGTCTGCTGACATTGGCATTCGCCCAGTCCTAGGACAGAAAGAACAAAAATATTAATTTTTACACTCATTTCCCCAATTCTTATAAATGACTGGGCTATCATCTCAAAAATCCATCATTAACTCAAAAAAAGGTCCTTTTATTAAAAATATGAGAGATATACAAGGCAACAGATATATTTCAGTGTGTGCATGCTGGAATAATGCACGGTTCTGTATAAACACAAAGTCAAAAGGCTGCCAGGTATAGAATACTCCTGTAACCCCAGCACTCTGCAGGCTGAAGTAGGAGGATTCCAAGTTCGAAGTCAGCCTATACTATACAGGGAGACTCTGTTGCAGCACTGAACTCAGACTGAAGATGAGAGATTATTTCCTAGATTACCTATAATGAAGCCTGAATGAAGAAAATATATTCTCAGAGAAAAGAAAGAAGACCATAAGGAAGAGGACAACGCTTCCCCTGCAAGAAGCTAAACACACATTCACTAGAGATACTGGGCAGAGGAGGGGTGGGGGGGAACAAGGGGTGGAAGAAAGGTAGGGCATGTGCGACAAGGTCTTTTGAGAGCCAGAAGAGGGCTATGGACACTGGAAGGGCGAGAGAAGGTAGTGATAAGCCTGGTGGCTGTGGCCCATCTCTGTAATCCTAGCTGTTCAGGAGGCTGAGATCTGAGCATGGAGGCTGGAAGACAGACAGGGTAGGAAAGTCTATGAGACTTTTATCTCCAATTAACCACCAAAATGCCCAAAGGAGAGCTGTGTCTCAAGTGGTAGAGCAAAAGCCTTGAGTGGAAAAGCTCAGGGACAGCACTCAGGCCCTGAGTTCAAACCCTAGTACTCACACAAAAAGGAAGGGAAAGAGGGAGGGAGGGGGAGAGGGAAGGGAGGGAGTTTGAGTTTCCTATACTTTGGGAGAACCAACCTCATGTATGATAAGGTGTACATGAACCTGAGTGCTTGCTGAGCCTTACCTAGTAAATTCCAATCTTCACCTAGACTTTTGCTTAACAGCTCTTTATCCAACAGCATTCAATTGTTTAGCCTACTTTGTTCTAAAAAGCTGGAGACAATCTAATTGTCCTAGGGAAAGAGGCTAACACATATTATTGTGCACTTACAGAATACCACATAGTCTGCTGGGGGCTCAAGCCAGGAATCCTATTGACTCAAGTGGCTGAGATCTGTGAACTGTATTGTGGTTCAAAGCAGGAAAGTTTGTAAGATTCTTATCTCCAATTAACCAGCAAAAACCCAGACGAGGAAGTATGGCTCAAGAGACTTCAATTATTTAAAAAACAAAGGAATGTGAGACAATCAAAAAAACAATAAAAATAGGAATGAATAAATTTAGAGTGTTTCAGAGGAAAGGAATATCTAACTACTGTATACCTAACTCTGTCCTTCAAGCTGGCTTTTCAAAGTCCTCTCCCTCCAACTGACACTGCTCCTCACCACACCCTCGCCATAGACCAGTGCCCCCTACAAGAGGCCCTCTGTTCTGTCCCATGAGCATTTGGCCACGTCTGCAAACCAGAGTGGAGGCCACCACAGCTCTAGACATCTAGTCAATAGAGGTCAAGGCACTGCCAAGCATCTGTAATGCACAAGAGACTCTCCACAACAAAGAATTCTCCAGCACAAATGTTACTGGTAGAGAAACACTCACTTAGTGTCTCTAGGAATCTGGATCCAAAACACAGGAGCTCATTCAACTTATTACCAAATCTAAAACCCACTTCTATTAGCAGACCTTCCAAATGCGAGGCACCTTCCCTCTTTCAAAGTGCCCAAAGTCCTATTTATGGTCATCTATATTCATTTGGTAAGTCTAAACCCTTTGCCAGTAAAGGACGTTGCATTTTCAAGGACACTAACCTCTCAAAAACATCTCTTAGCTGGGTGCCAGTGGCTCATCCCTATAATCCTGGCTACTCAGGAGGCTGAGATCTAAGGATCGAGGTTCAAAGCCAGCCCGGGCAGAAAAGTCTGTGAGACTCTTAGCTCCAATAAACCACTAGAAAACTGGAAGTGGCACTGTAGCTCAAGTGGTAGAGCACTCGCCTTGAGCTGAAGAGCTGAGGGATAGAGCCCAAGCCCAGAGTTCAAGCCCCACAACCAACAGAAAAAAAAAATCTCTTACTTTACTCATTTGTAAAGTAGGCAAACTTTAGCAATTCCTATTAAACACAAGGCGATAAATGCTAATGCCTATAATCCTAATTGCTCAAGAAGCTAATATCTGAGGATTAAAGTTTGAAGCCAGCACAGGCAGGAAAGTCCCTCTGATCTCAACCCAGAAGTGAAAGCTATGCATAACTCAAGTGGTAGAACACCAACGTTGAGCAATGAAGCTTGAAGCAAAGAAGTGACGCTGAGTTCAAGTGCCAGGACTGGCACAAAAAATGAACACAAACAACAACAACAACAACAAAAGAAACATGTTCCCTAGGCCCCATTCCCAGTTCTCTAGAAGATCAAAGTTCTTGAAGTTGTATACTAAATGTTAGTAATTGCCATTAAACACAAGGAGATAAATGTAGAAATAAAAACATAGAAATACAAATAGAAACACTCCCACTTTTCTAAAAAACAAAATTTGTTTTTTGTGCCAATCAAAGATCTTAATGCAAGGTCTAAACCTTGAAACTTTTAAAAGAAAAAAACACAGGACAAACTCTGAAAGATATAGGTACAAGCAAATTGTTTTCTACATAGAATTCCAACTGCCCAGAAATGAGAGCAAATATTGGGAAATAGGATGGCATCAAAGTCTCTGCATAATAAATGAAACAATTACCAGAGCCAAGAGACAGCCCACAGAATGGGATTAAATCACCAGCTAGTCACTGGATAACACAATAACACCCAGAACATACAGAGCTCAAAAAGTTAAACAGCAAGAGAATAAATAATCCAAATAATAAATGCCCAACAGAACAGTTAGAAGAAGTTCAAGCAGTTAAGAAATATATGAAGGTATATTCAACATAAAGGAAATGCACATCGATACTAAATTCCATCTCAACCTAGTCAGAATGGCTATCATCAAGAAAACAAACAGGCTGGGCGCTGGTGGCTCACACCTGTAATCCTAGCTACTCAGAAGGCTGAGATCTGAGGATCACGGTTCAAAACCAGCCCAGGCGGGAAAGTCTGTGAGACTCTGATCTCCAATAAACCCCCAAAAAACGGAAGTGGCGCTGTGGCTCAAGAGGTAGAGAGCTTGCCTTGAGGTGAAGAGCACAGGAACAGTGCCCAGGCCCAGAGTTCAAGCCCCATGACTGACAAAAAAAAGAAAAAAGAAAATAAACATCAAATTTTGTGAACATGTGAAAGAAAAGGAACCCTTGTACACTGTTGATGGGGATGTAAACTAGCGAACCCACTATGGAAATCAGTCCTGAGAGTCCTCAAAAAGCTAAAAGTAGGCCTCCCCTAGGACCTTGCCATACCACTTCTAGGCATGATCCAAAGTAAGTCAATATGCAAGAGAAATACCTGCATGCCATGTCTATTACAGCTCTGTGTACAGTAGTCAAGCTGTGGAATTAGCCAGAGTGCCCAACCTTCCATGAATGGGTAAAAAAAATAGTATGTAACCTCATCAAATTCCCATGATCATTCTCCCTTATTGAACAGCAAGTACACACACACAGAGACACAGGAGTATTACTCATCCATAAAGAAAATGAATTAAGTCTTCTGCAGGAAAATGGATGAAACTGAAGACCACCATTTTGAGAGGTAATCCAAGCTCAAAGTTTAGCTATATACTTATGTATTTGTATGTGTACACATGACTAACTTGTGGGATGGCTTGGTGAATGGAGGAAGGATAAGAGATGAAGATGAGAATTGTGGAGGGTGAATAAATAATACTGAAACACATGGTGTCTATGTCTGAAGACAGCACAAGGACACTCACTGGAAGCCACTGGATTACAAGAGACAGGAGGTGTGGAATAAAAGAGAGCTCTGGAAGGCATTTGATTATAATGAGGCAATACTATGGTAGCACTGTGTGGACATGGGCACATACAGCACACACATATACACACACACACTTAACAACTTGCAGAGGTGTTGAATTGGTAATTCTTGCAACAGCTAAGTCTGCTTCTGGTCTCCCACATTGCATTCCCACTCTCTATGCTTACATTTTGATGCTCAATGATCCCAAGACAGGAAGAAAAGGATAAAATATACTGGACTACTAAAAATCAAATAATTGCTAAGAGTTTGAAAGGAAAAACAAAGGGCCAACTGCATGGTAACACTCACCTTAAATGTGCCATTTTGATTTTTCATGTAAGAAACCAAAAATATGTCCACGGGCAGAAGGGCCGATGTGATCAGCGCAATTGCAAGGGAAAAAATTGCTGTTATGGTGGAAACAACTTCGCTTTCCCGTTGACTTTGGTATTTACGCACGTAAGTCCAGCAAAATGCCAAAATAGCCTGAAACAGAACAAAAGGAAATGACTGTTACTGTTTTATGTACTCTCTTAACACTGACTTCACTATGTTTGCAAGTTTCCAATGGAACATTTTGTGTGTGTGCATCAATACCAGGGCTTGGACTCAGGGTCCAGGCTCTACCACTTCAGCCACACCTCCACTTCTAGCTTTTTGCTGGTTAACTGGAGAAAACAACCTCATGAGTTTTTCTGCCCAGACTGGTTTTGAACCTCAATCCTCAAATCTCAGCCTCCTAAGTAGCTAGGATTATAGGCATGAGCCACTGGTACCTGGCCTCCCGTGGGAAGAAGGTCTCCTCCACACGTGAGGATCACTGGAAGCCATTACAACCATGGCTAAGATTCTAGATTCTCAAACCTCTGCCATGAATTGAATACCATCCAGGCAGGTGCACCTGTGCACTCACTGTTGGTAGCAGTACTCAGTTACACAGACCCTCTGCAAACTCAGTATAATCATACACAGTCACACATGGATCATAATGCAGGACTATAATGGGAAGAAGCTTTGAATCCAGCCCCCACTCTTCTCTCCAACCTAAAGGAAATTATCTAGTAGTTATTCTATCCTAAGCTCATTAGTGAAACATCACCAAATGGAACTTGGAAATTAACTCTGTCCTGCTAGGACAATTTAATACCATCCATCTACAGATGAACTGCTGTACAATTACCATAATTCAAACTTTAAAGGACACAAGAGTGAAAATATATCCATCTGTGTAACAAGGTTTCCAGTTTTTTTTTTAAAGTCTACCCACAAGTGATGAATCTGACATCTCCAATCATCCAGGCAGTCAGCCACAAGGCCTCTCCTAAGCAGAGCACAGTATGTTGATGAACCTCTAACTGAAGGGACCATCAGCACCTCCTGGAAGGTTGTTAAAACAGGCTGCTGAGCCCCACACCCTTGTGGCCTGGGATATGCTCAGGGTGAGGCGTTGCAGACAGACAGAGTCAGTGGTTCTCAGCCTCTCCTTTGTTTCTACTTTCTTCCAGCCCCATTGCCCATCAAATCAGTCCCTCAGCCACACTCCTCCAGGCACCTGGGCTTCAAGTGCCCAGGATGCCCACAGGGGCCAAGCCCAAGGCTTGCTGATCCAACCCGAGGCCTACGCTTCCCTGCTCAGGACTCACCCCTTCATTTGGGGAGTCCAGTCACAAGCCTGAGTGGCACAAGTAAAACACAGAAGCCATACAATCAAGATGTAAGAAAGGTCTCACCACCCTGAAAAATTCTGTTTTGTCTCCTTGTAGGTAAGCCCTCTGTCCCCAGCCCCAGACACCACTGCCTGTTACCAGCCCTAGAAGGTCGGTCCCTCTCAGTGTCATTTGTACTTCTATCAACCTGACTGAGTCGGCTTCATCTTTCACTTGCCTAAGTCATCTGAAATCCATCCAAGCAGACTTCTGTCATTCCTTCACCCTTCATGCTGATGTCTTTTCAGAAATAGAGGAAGAGGGAAGAGCTTTATAAGCCAAATGCTGGGGGCTCACACCTATAACCCTAGCTATTCTGGAGGTTGAGATTTAATCACAGTTCAAAGCCAGCCTGGTTAGAAAAGTCCAGGAGAAAAGAATGGCACCACCCATTTGTTAGGAAATGCAAAGACTTGGAAAAAATTACATTGTGAAGTAAGCCAGTCCCAAAGAAACATAGGTCCCATGGTTTCCCTTATTTGTAATAACCAGTATATGTCTCAGACAAGCAGAAAAGGTCAAAAACTATGCACATATGACCATATAAGATGATGCTAAGTGAAATGAACCCCAAGAAAAGGACACAAGAGGTTTTATCTTTCTTGCTATTTTTTAATGTATTTATAATGTACAATGTGATTTTTTTCTTTTGTATGTTCTTCCCCCATGGCATAACTCTGTTTTCACTGTATTTGATTCCAGTGTCCTGCATCTTGAATATCCATTTTCCTAATTTGGGGAGGGGAAGGAAAATAACAACATGCTGAAATAAGAATACAGGTTGACCCATTTAACAATGAGATGTACAAGACACTATGTTGAAAATGAACTTCACAACTTGGAGCGGGGAGGGAGGAGTTGGGGAAGTGAGGAGGGAAAGGATGGTAGCGGAAAAACAAAGGAGGAGGTAACAATGCTAGATAGGAAATGTACTCATTACCTTACCCATGTAACTGCAACCCCTCTGTACAGTATTATTACAATAATATACCTACACATATAAAAGAAAAGTCCAGGAAGCTCATATCCAATTAACCACCAAAAAGCTAGAAGTGAAGGTGTGGCTCAAGTAGTAGAACACCAGTCTTGAGTATAAAAAAGCTAAAAGACAGCACCTAGGCCAAATTCAAGACATAATACTAGCACCAAAGACAAAAGGAGACAGGGAGGAAAAGAGAGGGAGAGAGGGAGACAGGAAGGGATAGAGGGATGGAGGATGAGGGAGAGAGGACAGGAGGGAGGGAGGAAGAGAGAGAGAAAAGGAGGGAGAAGGAAAGGAGGAAGGGAGGGAGGGAGGGAGAGAGATTTAAGACTCTGGAATTTGGATGATGGAGCAAAACAAAAATAAAAAGATATGCTAAAATTCTGGCTCAAGTATTTACTGATTTTGTTGTTTTGGCAAAGTGTCTTTTTCTTCTACAAAAGGTTATTTATAAACACTTAATATGTCTTCTTTAAAATGAATTCAGAAACATTTTAAATATTCCTGAAATGTTTTGAATTCACTGGGACCTGGGCCTTAGCAGTACTTCACACCAAGTGTGGAGCATACTTTGTTGTTGGGTTATGAGAATGAGAGATTTGCGCTTTTCCAGAGTTGAAAGGGAGCTAATGTCAGCAGCAGGGCAGAAGTTATGCCGGAGATGTGGACCTTCGGTTTTAAGAATATCAAAGACCTTTTTCTTTGTGTGGTTATATTGTAGCTAACAACAGAAATCATACCCTAAAGTAACCCAATGTCCTCCTCTGTAAGATGGATGGGAATAGGAGTTTTCATGACAAGTTCTAAGGATTAAATAAGAGATGGAGTTCTTAGTATGGTTGGTGGCCATAGTAACTGCAAACAAATTACAATGATGGTAACTAAATGTCTGATGAAGTAACATCTCAAAGGACAGGAAAAAATTTTTAAAGTTGTGCTTCCATTGGTCTAGGCATGATGAAAACAGTAAAAAGTAATTTTTTTATTAAACTCTGACCCAAATCATGTTTTTAAAACACTGAGACGGTATAAAGCGTCCTGCTGCCTTCCACTGGCTGAATGCAGCCACCGGACAGCCCTCATCCTCACAGTGCAAAGACAAAGCATCCCTTCTTCACAAGCAGCATGATTCTGGTGTGAAAGAAGTTATTCAGACTAACAAGGTTTTTATCAAACAAACAAAACTAATGCTTCAAGCTAAACAGCATTCATTACTTTGAGTGAAAACACCAAGGAGCAGCACACAGGCCCTGAGTTCAAGCCCTAGTACACACATGTACACACACACACACACAAACCCAGACACATATACACAAAAGGCTATTAGTCCAGCTTTCTTTGGAGTGGCTCTTTTGCCCATGAATGATTCTTTGAAACACATCCTGATGGCCATGTGGAAAGCACTTGTTTTGTTAGCTAGATACATCTTCCAATATTTTTCATTACATAATAGCAAAATACCATGCTCAACTAATCTACTGAAAAGTTGTCAAGCTCACAACTTTTCCAAAACTGTAGTGACAGTAGCCAAAACAACTGGTGCCCAGAAGAATAGCTTTTTCAGAATGAAAGGCTTACCGATTGTTTTTTTGTGTTTTGTTTTTTATTCCATTTTGCAGCCAACCTTTAAGAAGCTTCTGGGTTTTAGTGTATTAACAAAGAACACCCAACACTATCCACAACACTCTTCTACCTCCAACCACGTACCATGGAAACTGGATTTTCTTCAGATATTTCAACCAAAATAACTTATCCCCAAAAGCTGACTGAAAGCTGGGCAGTGATGGCTAGCCTGTAATCATAGCTACTTTGGAGAGAGTTGAGGATCACAGTTAAAAACCAGACAGGCAGAGATGTCCAAGAGACTCTTACTTCCAATTCACCACCAAAAAGCCAGAAGTGGGGTTGTGACAAATAGTGGAGCACCAGTACAGAGTAAAAAAGCTAAGTGACAATGCAAGACCCTGGACTCAAGTCTCAGCAGCTGTGCAGACACAAAGTGCACACACACGTGCACACACACATGCACACACACAAACACTAAAATAAAATTAAAATACTGAATGAAAAACCAGACAGGAGAATCCAGCTCTGTTCCAGTAGACCAGGAATTAAGATTCGCACAGATTTAAACAATGACTTTGTTATTAATTCTTCCCATTCCCACATCTAAATTTCTCAGTCCTAAATTTTGTCTCATTTCATCTATCTCTGGTATAATTTTGCCAACAAAACTCCCCCTTTTTCAATTGTTCAAAGCCAACCTCAACTCTCATTTTCTTTCAACATTCTTCTCAACTTTCAGAAGTCCTATTCCAGTTATAAAATCCCTATTTTGGCTTTCAATATCTAAAATACATGTTTCAAGAATTTTAGTATTCTCATCTATTTTCTGGCCTTCTTAAAAACCCTGTGTTGTTTCATGGGTATCCTGGTACAACTTACAGCAAAACTTCTGTATCATACAATCATATTCATTAATCATTGGCAAGACGGTCCACTAAGTCTTATTACTGCTACACGCTTACTTTTTTATCCTAAATAAACTGAATCTGATGGACTGGAAAAGGCAGCATAGTATCCAAGTACAGAACCGAACAGCTCTGGAGCCCACCATCAACTTCTATGTTTTCCAGTTCCTCAAGACATGAGTAAAGCAACGTGCAGTGTAGAGAAACTGGAGAAAGTAGCATGAGGAGTCCTTCCTTAAATTTTCAATTCTTACTGTTTTTTATACAGCCTCTACTTATTAAAAAAATTACTAACAAAACATGCTAAAAACAAACATGTAGGGAATCTGATAAACTACAAGGTTGTTCTTG